TGCGTGCGTGCGTGCGTGTGTGTGTGTGTGTTTGTGTGTGTGTGTGTGTGTGCGTGTGTGTGTGTGTGTTTGCGTGTGTGTGTGTGTGTGCGTGTGTGCGTGCGTGTGTGTGTGTGTTTACGTGTGTGTGTGTGTGTGTGTGTGCGTGTGTGCACGGCGCAAGGTGGTGGGGGTATTCCCCTCCGTCTCTGCCGCCTCTTCCCGCCGGTCTCCTCGGCCCCCTGCCACGGGGGGCTCTGCCGCACCAGGAGGGGAAGCTGGACCGCGACTGGTACGACGGCGAGGAGGGCGGCGTCTCCATGCAGACCGTGGACAACGTGGAGGAGGACGTGGCCTCGGTCGGGCAAGCTTGGAGCAGGCGGTGGGGGAGGCCAGAGGGAGCGAGGGAAGCGGAGGAGGACGCAGAGGAGGAGGAGCAGGAGGAGGAGGAGGAGGAGGAGGAGGAGGAGGAGGAGGAGGAGAGGGAGGAGGAGGAGGAGGAGGAGGAGGAGGAGGAGGAGGAGGGGGAGGAGGAGGGGGGGGGAGGTGGGGGGGGCGGGGGGGGGTCAGCGCCGAGCCAAGAAGCAGGCTGCGCGCGAACCTCCAACGGCTCATACCTTTGTGCCGGCTTCTGCTTCCTCGGAGGCGGAGCCTTGGCTCGGAGGCTCCCAGATTGGCAGCGAGGGAAGAGGCCTCGGACCTCGGGGCAGAGGCGTCTAGCTTTGAGTCGGGCCTGTTCCTCTACAGGAGAAGTATTCAAAAACAGTCAAACAAGTAGTTTGGGGATGATGTTTGGAGTATGTGTTAGAATGTTTTGTCTATGTGTTATTTGTCGACTAAGGCTTCCTGTAGGAGGACACGCCAGACCTAAGTCTAGCTTTCCCACCCTGCCTTCCTCGGGTGTGTGTTCCGGAGGCTAAGAAACGCAGACATCAAATATCGTCGAGTCCCAGGAGCATACAGGAAAATATGGTAAGTGCGGGGGGAAAGACAAGCATCCAGAAACTATTGGAACATATGGGGAATCCTGGGATTGGTGTGTGTGTGTGTTCTTTATGTGTGTGCTCCTGATCCCCTTCACGTGTGCTTCCCAGCCACCCCACGATTCCTCACCGCACGCTCACTCATGCAGTCTGGTAGGATGCATTCGAGCAGCAGGTGACCCGCGACCCCTGGAGGTGACGAGTGCACACCTCTCACACGCCGAACAACGTGGCCCGAGGCCATCCAGCATCTGGGACCGCGGGCCGCCATGGGCCCGGCCATGCCAGCCCGAGGAAGACGCGCAGCTGGCACGGCTGACCGAGAGAGCGAACGGCGGCAAAGCTGGCCGGCTCGCCCTCTCCTGTTGGGACCCGCAGGAGCTAGGCGGCGCCCTTCGAGGGGCCGCGCGCTGCTGCCACCGCAGCACCTCCTCCCCAGACATGCGACGTCCTGATTTTTTCACGACGGCGTCCCCGGAAGTCCCGACCCCTTCCCTGAGACCGCTTTTCCGCCCCGGGTCGTTTTTGGACGATCCCGAGGCCCGGCGAGGGCCCCGCGGGGGCCCAAAATGGCCAAAAGCTTCCCGTCCCGGTTTTTTTGTTACGACGCGAGCAGGTCTGGGTCTTCGCGGGCCCGGAGGCTCACGCTCCGCAGGCGGCAGCCTTGAGACCACCCGCGTCAGGCGCCCTTGGCTTCCGAGGCTGGGGCGCCGGGCCCGCGCGCGGGCGGGTCGAGCGGCGGAGGGTGCCGCCAGGGGCCTCGGCGTGCAGACGGCTGCTGGACGCACCTTGCGCGTGCTGAGTGGCGGGGATCGCCCGCGCACCGGGTCCTCCTCCTCCTCCTCCTCCTCCTCCGCCTCCTCCTCCTCGCCTCCTCCTCCTCCTCCTCCTCCTCCCCCCCTCCAACTTCTGGTGGTGGTGGTGGTGAAAAACAGGCCCATCCTCCCTCGGTTTTGTCCTCGCCTTGGCCTCGTCTTAGGTCTGGGGGTGACCGCACTTCTGCCCCTGCTGTCCACAAGCCGGGCATATAGCCAGGACCCAGGCAAGGGGGCCCCGTTGGTGGTCGGGCCCCGGAGCCCCTCAATTGGCCAGAATCACTAAACCAGGTCTGCCGTAACCAGTGTTTGTTCGGGTGACGGCAGTTCCGGTTAGTGGAACGGGGCGGGGGGGCGTCCCCCAGTACACATCACGAAACCAGGTCCCACGAAACCCAGTTCTGCCAACTCCCGAACAAGGGGGGGCAGGATTTGTCCGCCGGTGGCGTTGCAGGCAGCTGACGGCGAATCATCTCCCAGGAGCCTGGGGCAAGAGAAAAAGGAACAAAAAAAACATCTCGCATTCGCTGAGGAGCCGCCCCCTTCCCCAGGAGATCGCCGTCCGGGGCACCACCTGGGGCTTCAGCGTCCCTGGTCCCAGGATCGCCCTCGTCAGATGGTGAGGCTCAGCCACGCGCAGAGGGGGGTGGGGTGAGGGGGGAGGGCTTCTTAGAAGCACCCCTGCTTCTTAGAAGGCGCGGGCCTCATCTATGGATGTAGGGCCGGCGCCTTCTAAGAAGCAGCCTCCTTCTAAGGAGCCCTCCCCCCTCCCTCCACCCCCTCCCCCTCCTCTCCTCCTCCCTCCTCCTCCTCCTCCTCCCTCCTCCTCCTCCTCCTCCTCCTCCTCCTCCTCCTCCTCCTCCTCCTCCTCCTCCTCCGCCTCCTCCTCCCCCCTCCCTCCCCCCCTTGCGCGCGCCGCCGCGAGGCGCAGGCTCTGGGATCGGCCAGGCCCGCTCCAGAGGATCGGCCCGAGACGCCGCGCCCCCCCCCTGAGCAGCCCCAGAGGCCCCCCCCCCCTGGGAAATCGCTTTGCGCGGAGAGTTATCCTCTCTTGTGCCGTTGTGTGAAGCCACTTGGGGTACGGTAGGTTTGCGTCGTGTCGACCAGCGGCGACCCCAGCGCGGACGTTCAAGGTTGAACGCCGCCGGCGACCCAGAATCGATCGATGTTGAACGATCGGACGTTGCGGCAGCGGCCGATCGTTCAAGGTTGAACGATCCCCGCGGTGTCAAAAACCAACGCTGGGGTCGGCACGACACGAACCTGCCGTAATTGCCCACACGGCGCCAATACCCTTTCGTCTTATGTGGGTTTGAATAAGACGTCTTTCCCTCCCTGTGCGTGCCCAGAGTTTCGCTTCGGGCCTGGCAGGCTGGCTGAGGTTGCGTGAGAATGGTGGTTGGACTGGAGACATGTGGCGCCTTGCGGGTTCCCTGAAAAAAAAAAGAGCCCACCCCCGGGAAATCGGCTCGGCTTCCTTGAGGGGAGCAAAAAGTGGCATAAGCACAAAAACTCGGAGGTCCGCACGGATTTCTCGGATCGGCGCTGGGGCCCCACGGCGGCGCCTACGGCGCCGCCCCTGGCGCGCTCCGCGCGCCAGGGAGGGGGGTCCAGCGCCGATCCGAGAAATCCGCGCGGACCTCCGAGTTGTTATGTTTATGCTACTTGTTGTTCCCCTACCCTGGCGAGATCGGCTCGGCGTCCATCGAGGTCCTGGCAGCCAGGAGCTAGAGAGGCGAGATCCGAGAGGTTGCCCCGAATCTTTCTTATCCTGGAGCCTTTCATGCAACACTTACGACGTCAAGTGAGCCTCCCCCGTGTGTGTGTGTGTGTGTGTGTGTGTGTGTGTGTGTGTGAATGTGTGTGTGTGTGTGTGTGTGTGGTGTGTGTGTGTGTGTGTGTGTGTGTGTGTGTGTGTGTGTGTGTGTGTGTGTGTGTGTGTGTGTGTGTGTGTGTGTGTGTGTGTGTGTGGGGGGGGTCATGGCGCTCGGACCTGACTGGGTCGCATGTCCTAGCCACGCTGCCTCATAAGGGGGCCACACCAGTCCGCGCCAACAGTTTGCGCGTGCCCGACCTCACTTTGGGCACCGCCAGTGGGAGTCACTGGAGCGTCGGAGGAGGAAGTACGTGTGTGTGTGTGTGTGCCTCATGGTCCCTTAAAGATGGAACGGTAGCGCCTGACCGACGCGATCCCGGCGTGCTGCCGTGGTGCCCGCTTCTGCTGGTCCTCGTGCCCCTCTCCGCGCCCGCGCCGCCATGAGGACCCGCTGAAGCTGGCCGAGAAGGAGGAGAAGATGAAGCGGCAGCTTGCCGCAGTGGACAGAGTCAACATCAGGGCCAGGGGGGAGGGGTGAGGCGGGGGCAGAGGAGGGCCTGTGGGGAGCCCGCGGGCCACCGGAGGAGTCCAGGATGGGCGCCTTGCTCGGACCCTCCCCCTCCGGCCCCCTTGCCCCACCTCCTCCTCCTCCTCCTCCTCCTCCTCCCTCCTCCTCCTCCTCCTCCTCCCTCCTCCTCCTCCCTCCTCCTCCTCCTCCTCCTCCTCCTCCCTCCTCCTCCTCCTCCTCCTCCTCCTCCTCCTCCTCCTCCTCTTTCCTCCTCCTCCTCCTCCTCCTGCCTCCTCCTCCTCCTCCTCCTCCTCCTCCCTCCTCCTCTCCTCCTCCTCCCGCCTCCCTCCTCCTCTCCTCCTCCTCCTCTCCTCCTCCTCCTCTCCTCCCTCCTCCTCCCTCTCTCCTCCTCCTCCCTCCTCCTCCTCCTCCTCCTCCTCCTCCTCCTCCTCCTCCTCTCTCCTCCCTCCTCCTCCTCCTCCCCCACGCACATGTTACCCCTGCACCCCTGCCCCCCTTGTCCCCCAAAAAACAGGGACGAGCCTTCGCCTGCGCAACATCACACACACAAACACACACAGACACAGACACAGACACAGACACAGACACAGACACAGACACAGACACAGACACAGACACAGACACACACACACACACACACAGACACACAGACACACACATAGACACACCGACACACACACAGACACACACACACACACACACACGCACGCACGCACGCACGCACGCACGCACGCACTTACGCACGCACACACTCACACACACAGACACAGACACAGACACAGACACAGACACAGACACAGACACAGACACAGACACAGACACACGCACACGCACACGCACACGCACACGCACACGCACACGCACACGCACACGCACACGCACGCACGCACGCACGCGCATATACGCACACACACACACGTACACAAACACACACACACACATACACACACATACACGGGTGGCGGGGGGAGGGGGGCGCAGCGAACATCCGCAAAGCAATGCAGAGGGAGGTAGGGCAGCACTTAGCGAACATGTGCAAAGCAATCACAGCGTGGTAGGGGGGGGTGCACTCCGCGAAAACCTACAGGTATAATCGCAGGCAGGGAGGGCGCGTACGTAGCGAAACCCTGCAAACAAAAATTACAGGGGGCACTTAGTAAACATCCGCAAAACAACGCAGAGGGGGCTATGTGGGCACGTAGCGAAACTCTGGAGGAAGACAGCAGGAGGGATGAGGGAGACTTAGAGGAAATATGCAGAACGACGCAGGGGTGCGGTAAGGGGGTATTTAGCTGGAATATTGGCACTCGTCACCCCTCGCAGGCCTTCTCGCAAACCTTCTCGGAAGCATCTTAGAGCAAGTCTGGTCCCCTGCTGGATCTGTTCCTGCTCAATACAAAGCACACGACGGCACGTGCACGGACTCGCTGCGGGTATGCCTCCCTCTCCTGGGCACTCCCTGTGGGCAAGGCCCCTCCCCAGGAGATCTGAGAAAGAGTTGGGATTGGAAGTTCTAGTTGACTTGCAAGGTTGGGAGCTGAATGTCGAGTTGAATTTCGAGTTGGGAATTGCATTTCGAGTTCAATTCCGAGTTGGTAAGTTGAATTTCGAGCTGAATTTCGAGTTGGGCCGAACAGGGAGGTTAATTTCGAGTTGGGCCGAACATGGAGTTCAATTTCGAGCTGCACTTAGAGTTGGGCCGAGTGGGGAGTTGAAGAACGAGCTGAGTTCGGTAGAGGAACGAGAATTCCGCCCTCCGCACCACGGAGGGCGATATTGATAACATGGATATGCCGATATCGACGATGGGTCGATCGTCGGATTGTCGATCCGTCGACCAAGGGGGTCGTCGGATCCTCCATCGGTCGATCTGTCGATCGTTGCATCACCGGTCGGTCCGAACGCCAGGGTTCCTAGTGCGCTCGACGTCGAGCTCATGCAGACCCCAACGGCGCTCAAGAAGCGTCCAGCCGAGCCTCAGGCGCGGAAAAACTGATGCGAAACAAGGGCTTTCCCAGGACCAGCTCTCGCGAATTGGATTTTGACAGCTCCGGGACTCGGAGGCAAAGCAGGACAAAAACCTTCCCGAGCCCAGAACCTCGGACCTGCCCGCTCTTCCTGCTGGCCAGAACCTTTGCTGGGCAACCTCAGGGCCCTGGACGGCTCCAAGGGTCTGGAGCCCGCCTTCTCCCGCCCCCCCTCCCCCCTCCCCGCCACGGCCAGCATGGCCCCAAGGCCCTCGGCGGGCTCGCAGGGCTGCCCCAAGAGGCTTCCTTTTGATCCCCACCGTCCCCGCGAGGCCGAGACGGCCCCCCCCAAGCCCCAGTTGAGCCCCCAATGCGACAGCCGAGGCCCGCAGGAGAGCCTCGAGAGGAGGCCCCCAGCAGGCGGAGGGAGGAACAGATCCTCACGCCGTCGATGGCGGCACCTCTGCTCGACCTGGAGAGCTCGAGAGCCCTCGTCGCCCCGTCGCCGCGGCTGGTTTCGCCTCGCTTCCCAACTGGTCAGAACGCGCACCAGGACCCAGGGGCCCCAGCTGATCGGGAGCCTCGAGAACCGATGGTCCGCGTCGCCGCGGCTGTGCCGCATCAGTTTGCACAGCCCAAAGAAGAGACCCCCAAGTAGCTTGCCAAACGCGTGCAAGGATACCCCAGCATGATCTACCAACCTCACCAGCACCTACAGGAGACCCCAACAACTCTGGCAACATCTACAACACAATACGACAAGTTTACCAACGCAGATTATAAGAAGTAGTCGAAACCCAGCAACGTTGCCGATACATTGTCAATTGCCAGCAGATGTCCTAACGACGTTGCAGATTCTAACAACATGCCCAACAACTTGTCCAATAGTTCTCTTACCAAATTAATGCCGTACCTTAGGCCGATTGGTCATGTGAATTTGGGCCCCTGGAAGTCACGCTGGATATCCCCGGCAGCGTCCGTGAGCGCCGATAAGCGCCCAGAAACACTTGAGAATGTGGGGCCTGTGCACCAGTGCACGAGCATCCTAATGCAACCTGAGGCCACTGCATTCAGTCCCTCGGGCACGGGTGGGAGGACGAGGAGGAGGAGGAGGAGGAGGAGGAGGAGGAGGAGGAGGAGGAGGAGCAGGAGGAGGAGGAGGTACATCATTGGCGTACGCATGCTTGGCTCAACCTGTCGAACACAGCTCCTTGATACTGCACAACTCCTTTGCACAGCGCGTGCTGTTGCTCCTCTTCGCATTCCTTTTGGAGCTATGTTCGCCAAGGTTGCCTCTGTGCTGGCCTGCCTTGCGTCCGCGCGGGCCCTCGACACCAAGAAGCGGGGGTCCTGCGAGTGCCTGCAGTGGGCGGGGGTGTACTACGATCAGCTGGCCGCCTGCGGCCGCGGCAAGGAGCTCCACTTCCTCTCCAAGTACGGCTTCAGTGCCGCCTATGCCGCCACCGAGCCCATCGCTGGGCTGCCGCACAAGGTGTGCAACGACTACTTCAAGAACCTGAAGAACAACTCCTGCGTCAACGTTGACCTGCTGGCGACGAGCACGGCCGATGATAACCTCCACCCGGCCAACAGCTTTCCGGCTGACCCTCTGGCCGCTTCCCAGTGGTGTTACGTGTCGAACGATTGCGATACCCTGAACGGTGGCGATTACGCCACCAACATCATGGGCTTCCAGCTGGGCGGGTGGAACAATCTTGCCAGTACCAGCAACCTGTCCTGGAAGATCTGCGATCCGATCGCGGACGCGGGCGTCATGATGAAGTTCAAGACGGTCGCAGAGCTGAACGCGATCGCCGAGGAGAGCGATATCAGCATCTCTCGCACGTTGCGGTTGGCCTACCCCGTCGTGCAGATCACTTGGGCCGAGGCCATGTACATGATGGAGGGCATCAACGCTGCTTGGGACGGCGTCGCCACCTTAACCGATCTGGTCGACGGGCTGACGGCTCCGCCGAGCTCCCCCACCAGGCTCATGGAGGTGCACACGCAGCTCGGCGACATCGTCAAGTCTGGGCAGGGCTACATCCTCGACACCCCAGGGCACGGGGACAACTTCCACGTCATCAGGGGCCGCGAGGTGTACACCGTGACGAGGATCGCGCTGGGCGACATGGCGTACCTTGGCGGCCACTTCTACCTGGAGTTCGAGCTGAATTGCCTCATGGGCTGCGTCACGTCCCGCGTGGAGGCCTTCGACTCAACCCGTCGCCTCCTCCCACCGCCGCCGCCGCCGCCGCTCGTCATCGTTCCTCGTCGTTCCTCGTCGCCGCCGCCGCTGTCGTCGGTTGTCAGCGCCGCCGCCCTCGCCGCACCCGCCGTCGTCTCTGCTCTTCGTCGTCGTCGCCAAGGCCGTCGTCCTCGCCGTCCTCGCCGTCGTCGTCGTCGTCGTCGTCGTCGTCGTCGTCGTCGTCGTCGTCGTCATCGTCGTCGCCGCCGCCGTCGCCGCCGCCGACCGCCGCCGTCGTCGGTCGTCGTCAGTCGTCGGCCGTCGTCGTTCGCTGCCGCCGCCGTCGTCTCCGGCGTCCTCGTCGTCACCGCCGTCGTTGGTCTTCGTCGTCGTCGTCGTTGCCGTCGTCGTCGCTCGCTGCCGCCGCCGCCGTCTCGGGCATCCTCGTCGTCACCGCCGTCGTTGGTCTTTGCCCTTCGTCGTCGTTGTCGTTGTCGTCGTTCTCTGCTGCAACCGTCGTCGTCGTCGTCGCCGCCGCCGCCGTCGTCGTCGTCGTCGTCGTCGTCGTCGTCGTCGTCGTCGTCGTCGTCGTCGTCGTCGTCGTCGTCCGTCGTCCGTCGTCCGTCGTCCGTCGTCCGTCGTCCGTCGTCCGTCGTCCGTCGTCGTCGCCGTCGTCGTCGTCGATCGTCGTCCGTCGTCCGTCATCCATCATCGTCGTCGGCGTGGTCGTCGTTGTCGGGGTCGTCGTCGTCGTCGTTGTTGGTCGTCCGTCGTCCGTCGTCGCCGTCGTCGTCGTCGTCGATCGCCGTCCGTCGTCCGTCGTCCATTGCCGTCGTCGTCGTCGTCGTCGTCGTCGTCGTCGTTGTCGGCGTCGTCGTCGTCGATGCAGGCCCTCGACCTGGAGTCGCAGTGAGGGCGGCCGGGCGGCTGGCGCGGCCCGCGCTTTTGCAGTTGGCGGGCTGAGTTGCTCCGGGGCACGTCCGGGCAGGGCAGGGCGTGGCTACTGCTTGCTGTCCTCCCCGACATCCCACGTACGGCGGGGGCAGTCGTTAAGGAGCGTGCCCAGGGGGCTTCAGACCCTGGAGGGTTCTTATCTGATGAGGGCGGCGGTGATATCCATGGCCGATCCACGATTCGAGTTCCATTGGCTTCCAGATCGTGGATTCCTTATCTAAGGGTTCCTTTTCCAATGCCCACACCGTATTGAAAACATCAAGACGGAGTTGTCTCGCTTGTTTAAAGGCATTCGCTGCGCTCTGGGACGGTCAATAACGACTCGGGATGAAGAACCAGTCCTAGGGAGTTGGTTGGGGCTTCCAGGGACCCCGTATCGAACAAAATCAAGACGTCGGATTTCTGGGCCCTGGGGCGGGGCGAACTGCAATTCAGATGGTTGGGACGTTCCAACCTACTTTAGCCCTGATCACCCGAAATACCTTCGACCACAAAGAAAGCACCGAAACCTGCAGGTTCTCACGTGTGAGGCCCTGGGAGGCGATACTCGCTCGACACCGTTTCGATATTCTTCTGGGCGCTCGAAATGTTTTCTGGGATGTGGTGGTCCTTAAGTTTAAGTCGGGTACGTACGTCCCTCTACAGGAGCAACGTTCCAAAATAGTCAAACAGTGTCCGTGGACGATTTTTGAATAGTTTTGCTAATGTCAGCTTGATTGTGTTCTCTCAAAATCCGCCTTTAGGAGGACATGCCTGATCTGATCTCATGCACCATGAGAACAACAGAAGCCAAGGGGGGTAAAAAACACACAGACACAAGTAACCGTCCATTCCCTGAAGCTGTGGGAAACTATTGGAAGTGTGGGGGGGGGAGAAGACAACAACCAAGAAAATATATGGGAACACATGGGGGATCCGGTTATTTCACCACCCACCAAACCACCCCAACCCAACCCGAAGGCTCAGATTTACCCTCGATTTCCAGTGGGGGGGGGTCGGGGAACATCGAAAAAACACATGTGGAACCCTTACCCCCCCCAACCCGAAATTCGGGTCTTCGGGTTGGGTTGGGGTGGTCTGGTAGGTAGTCATTATTTGTGTCTACTTCTCTGTGTGTCCCAGGGCCCCTTCAAGAAGCCAAGGGGGTCTCTGGCCGTGTCGAGCCGCTCCTCCGAGAGGGAGGGCTTCGCGGAGGCGGGGCGGGGCCGTCAGGCCTCGCCGCGGCATAGCTAAGGGCTCCCTCGAGGGCGCGAAGTTATTCGCGCTTCGCGCTTCGCGGTCCTCGTTCCTTCTCCCCCTCCTCCTCGTCCTCCTTTTCTCCCTTTGGGGGGGCGGCGCGAGGGCGCGAAGTTATTCGCGCTTCGCGGAGCGCGAAGCGCGAAGTTGGGAGCCCTAGTTAGCGCGATGGGCTGGCTGTGCGCACCTTCGTGGGCCCCGGAAGCGGCAGGGCCGCTTTTTCACCGTTTCCCCAAAAATGCCCCTTGAAAATGGAAACGGCAAAAACACGGCGACCGGAAACGGCAACAAAAACGGCTCCAGGACTGGAACCAGAGCCGGAACCGGTCAAAGACCTGCGACGGAACCTGTAAGCAATGGCGTCGGAACCGGCAAAAAAACGGCAAAACCGAACTGGCAAGAAAACGGCCCTGTCGTTTCCAGGGCCCACTAAGGTGCGCACCCGTCTCTTGTCTGTTCTCGCGCTCGTGGGGCTCGGAGGCGGACTCGCTCTGAGGAGCGGCTCGACAGCCAGGGCCCCTCTTGGCTTCTGATGTTCTCGTCGTGCTTACGGTCGGGTCGGGCATGTCCTCCTACAGGCGGACGTTGAGAAGAACATAGAATCAGAACTTGTAAAAGAAATACTTCGTGTGAATGTCCATGGCTATGCCCTCGGGAGCGAACGGGATGGACAGCCGTGGCGCCGCACGCGTCGTGCTCCTCTTTGCCCTCGTCGTCCACCTCACGCTAAAGCGGTTCAGTGCCACGCGCCTGGCACGAAGCTCAGCGCGCCCCTCTGCAGCTGGGTCACATCCTTCAGCAGTTCCTCTTCAAATATGGCTACCCGGAAGATGCCCAGAGTTCTGCTGTTCTCATCGTACTTAATGGCCACCTCGCAGAAACAGATTCGAGCGCCCAGGAAAGTATCGAAACAGTGTCGAACGAGAATCGCCTCCCAGGGCCTCGCACGTGAAAAGCTTCAAGCTTCGGTACTCTCTTGGTGCTCGAAGTTCTTTCTGGTGACCAAGGCTAACATAGGTTGGAACACCATAACTCTTGACCCCAGAAAATGCCCAGATCTCCTCAGGATGGAGGTTTGCGGGCCTTTTCGAAGGTTCCCAGATGCCTTGCAGGCTCGGGATGCTTTCCAGCAGCTGCGCGTGACCGAGAGCGTTCTTGGGGTCCTTGCAGGCTCGGGATGCTTTCCAGCAGCTGCGCGTGACCGAGAGCGTTCTTGGGGTGCACGAATCGTCCCGAACGGCCGTTGGAGACCCGAGTTGGGACCCGAGAGCCAGACCCCCATCGCGTCGTGATAGCATCGGCGGGAGGTTTATAGCCGTTTGGGGGTCCTGAGGGCCTGCTTGGCCCTGGGACAGCAAAGCACAACTCACGATGAACGTCTGGATCTGGGGAAGGGAGCATGACCTCGAGAGAACCTTGCAAAACAAACGCGACGCCGGGGGTCTGGACATACTGTATGCACACTCGCTGGTCCTGGCCAAGCCCATCCTCCGAGCATTTTCCGTGGGTGGAGGGCAGAGGGTGAAATCTGAAATGCCGTTTCGATGGGTTTTCGAAGACTGAATCTGCAAAAGGCGAATCACATGACGGATTGACTTTCGAGGTGCAAAAGCCCGTATGGATTTCACCCTGAGCCCTCCACCCTCAGAAAATGCACAGATCCTTGGCTTGGGATCGGTACATCGATTTTCCCGCCGAGCCAGGAGGCCGCATGCACCGATCCTTGGTCTGTGATGGGCGTGGCCAGGACTGGTACAGTTCCCCAGACAGTGTTTGCATGTAGGCCTCTCTTACTTCTCTTCTAGGGCGCTGGCCCTGAATGTCGGTCTGGCGGTTCCGTGCTCGCCGTCGCCCCCCCGTCGCCGCCTCGTCGCCGCCCGTCGTCAGGGCCGGAATGTAGGTCTGCTGGCTCCATGCTCGCCGTCGCCGCCTCGTCGCCGCCGGTTGTCTGGGCCCGAATGTCGGTTTGGTCGCTCCGTGCTCGCCGTCGCCGCCCCGTCGCCGCCCATCGTCTGGGCATGATTGCCGGTCTGGCGGCTATGTTGTTGCCGTCGCCGTCCCGTCGCTGCCTCGTCGCGGCCTCGGCGAATTGCACCACATAGATTGCGGCACATGGATTGTTCCACGCATGCTGCACCACAATATTGTTACCATTGAAAAGACATCCGATTCTACCCCCACCACCCCTCCAGGGTGATCAACTCGGCCTCGCGTAATACAATTTACGTATGATTTTGCCGCATCGTCCATCCTAAATATGAGCTCGTGTCGTCCCAGCCGGGCCGGTGTCCCCCCCCGCCGTGTCTGCAAGAATACAATTCGCGCGCACTCGTTTTTTCCCAAATCATCAGTTTCCAAGAATCCCTGGCAAAAGAAGTAACGAAGTCCACACGCGCGCATTGTCGCGCTCGCGGGCCGAAATCCTTCAAAAGCTTCCGGTTTCGTCAGGATTTCAAAATCGAATGTCCATGACATTTATAAAACCACAAGGTTTCGTAACACGGATGTTCAAAACAAGCTTGCGCGCGCTGTTGCGAATTTCTATGAAAACCCATGTTTTTCAAACATTTCAGAGAGTATTGCCAAACGGGCTTCGCGCGCGCGCGTGTCGAAGTCGTTCGAACGCCCTTTGCGCGCGTGCCGTCGCGAGAATCCTTTGCAAACAAATAAAACGAAGTGCGCGCGCTCGTTGTCGCGCACAAAACCGGAGTCCGTCAAACATTGTGGTTTCGTAGCGACTTCAAAACTTCGTGTACAACACACAAAAAAACACATGGTTTCGCCACATCAGTTTTCCAAAAAGAGTGGGCTCTCGCTCTTGCGCATGCTGTAGAAAACGATCGGTCCTTCGACATGGTCATGGACTTCTGCCAGACGGGCCTCTCGCGCCGCAGGCCGAAATCATTCGAACGCCCTTGCGCGCGTGCTGCAGTGGCACGATCCGTGTCAAATACGACCGTGCGGGCCACTCTCGCGCGGCCGCTCGCGCATGTCGAACTCTTTCTTTCCAAAACCTTCATCACAGACGCGATGACGCCGTCATCGTCGCCAGCGTGATCAGCATGGACGCCCGCACTGCCCGCGCCGTCGTCCTTGTCAACATCGCCACCAGCATCGCTACTATCATCATCGGTTCTACCGCGGTCGATGTTGCCATGATACCGCGCCCGCCCAATTCGCCGATTCGCACTGAAGTGCCCGCTGGGATGTGCCCAGCGGTCAGCGCCACCCCGACCGCGCCGGTCGCGCCAAACTAGCTGGCCGCTGCGCGCGCATGCTTAGGTTGGCGCGGCAGCAGAGATGCACCAGCCAACGCCAAGCACACATCACAATCGCCGCCGCTTGGGTTTTACAAGCCAAGTTGCGGGTGGGTGGGTGGGATGTTTGCAAGGGCGTGGGAGATGTCAGCATTTTTTGTGTTTATATTTTATTTTTAAAAGACAAAATGCACCACGTAAGTAATACACCAAATGGACTACACAACATACAGTGCAGCACACACACACACGCATATTGCATATTGCAGATAGGTTGCACAAGAAATATTGCACCACGTGGATCGCACCGTATATTGCACCACATAGATTGCACTACATGCATCACACGACATATGCTGCACCACAAATATTGCACAAGTGAGATTGCATTGCATAGATCGCACAACACGTATTGCACAACATAAATGGCTCTTCTTCTTGCACATCATTGGTCGCACAACACCTACTGCACAACATAGATTGCACGACGCTGATCGCACCACATCTATTGTACCACGCATACATACATATATTGCACCGCGTAAACTGCACCACATCGATTATCCTGTCTAATAATGAATTCGGAAGTACGCCCGCCTCGGTTTTGTTCACTTGGCCTGGGGAAGTGCAATTTCCCAACGATTCTGCCCCAGCGCTCATTCTGAATACGACTTCGTCTGATCCCGCCAAACCAGGTTCCCACACCCCCACCCTTCGCAACAAAACACTCTGCGCGCACACTCGTGTATCAACAAGCACTAAGTTCCAAACGTCATTGTTCAAAACATTGAGAGAATTCCACACAAGCGCGTCGTCGCGCGTGCATGCCAGAATCGTTCCCGACCGTCGTGGTTTCGCAAGGATTTGGGAATAAAGTGTTTCGAACATATAGAACAACATTGCTCTGGCAGCATGAATGTTCAAAACAGTTTGCGCGCTTGCGAACTCTTAGGAAGCCATCGTTTTTTTCTGTTTTTCCACATGTTCACCAATTCCGACCAGACGTGCCCTTCCCGCGTGCATGTCGAAAGCATTCCAGCGCATTTGCGTGCGTGCGGGTGGGGGGCACGATCCATGCCAAATAGTGCCATGCGGTGCGGGCCACTCGCGCTCGTCGGCCGCGCGCGCATGGCGAAATCCGACCACAACCTTCATTACCGACATATGGACACTATCATCCTCATCGGCGTGATCTACTGAAGCGCCCGCGCGTCAGAGCGGCCTAGTGGTCAGCGCCTGAAGCGCCCGCGCGCTGGGAAGCCACTAGCGGTCAGCGCTAGTGCCGCTGCGTCGGTCGCGCCAAACTAGCTGGCCGCTCTGCGCACGAACCTGCGCGCGCTAGCGCGGCTATAGGGATGCGCCAGCCAACGCCAAGCAGTCATCACAATCGCCGCCACATGGGTTTTGCCAATGTCTTTGGGGGTGTGTGGGTGGGATGGTGGCGCGAACATTGCAGCTGACAGTTTCAAATTGGACAGGGTACATGTCCACAATCGTAAAAGGGATCTACCCCCCGCCCAGGAATCAAAGGTACCCTTTCCCGTATTGCAGTTTCATATGTTTGTGCTCCGTCGTCCATCTGAAATATGAATTCGTACTCCCACGCCGGCCGGTATCGCCCCCCTCATCCTCTGTTCCAAATGCTACGCGCGCACTCGTCGATCACACCCCATCAATGTTCAAACATTGTTTTGCAAAAAAGTGGGACGAAGTTCGCACGCGCGCGTCGTCGCGCACGCATGCCGGAATCGTATAACCAGAACGACAGGTGTCGTAAGGTTTTCAAAATCGATTGTCCCGAAAACATATTCAAACATGGTTTCGCAACTTTGTTGCGTTTGTTTGCGCATGCGCCCACACTCTTTCAGGTCCTTACGCAAGCCATGGTTTTTTCAACATTATCAAAGCCTGCTGCCCAACGTGCCTCACGCGCGCGCGTGTCGAAGTCGCTCGAACGCACTTGCGCGCGTGCTGTCGCAATATTCTTTGCGAAGTGCACACGCGCGTGCCGTCGCGCGCGCATGCGAACATTTAGTTTGCATAGAAAACCTAGGGTTTCGCAGGATTTGTTTCAAATCGAATGTCCCGAAGACCTATAACAGCACATGGTCTTGTAACCTTAGTTTTCAAAAATGCCTGCGCTCGCACCCCTGCGATTTTCCCAGTTCTCAACTGTTTCATTCCACTCGGCCGAACGAGCCTCTCGCGCCGCATGTCGGCATCATTCGAACGCCCTTGCGCGCGTGCTGGGGGGGGGGACGCACGATCCGTGTCAAACAATACCATGTGGGCCACTCGCGCGTCGGCCGCGCGCGCGTGTCGAACTCTTTCCACAACCCTTCATCACCGATTCGGGGACGCCGTCATCGTCGTCGGCGTGATCAGCATCGGCGCCGTCACTAGCATCGCCGTCGTCGTAGCCATCATCGTGTCTACCGTTGTCGACGTTGCCATGATACCGAGCCCGCCCAAGTCGCCGGCTCGCATTGAAGTGCCTGGTAGGATGTGCCCAGCGGTCAGCTCCACCGCGGCCGCGTCTGTCGCGTCAAACTAGCTGGATATTTCGCGCGTTAGCATGCGCGGGCTAGCGCGACCGCAGACACGCACCAGCCAACGCCAAGCACTCATCGCAATCGCCACCGCGTGGGTTTTTGCAAACCCAGTTGCCGGTGGGTGGTTCGGGTGTTTGCGAGAGTAGTGGAGTTGACAACTCACTACGAAAAACAATTAATTGCACCACATAGATTGCACGACGTAGTTTGCACCACGTAAATTCCAACACAACCTATTTCATAACATAGATCGCGCACCACAACTTTTACCACATCGGTTGCACAGCGTGGATCGTACCACATACATCGCGCCGCATCAACTGCACCATCTCGTTTGCACAACTTTGATTGCAAAACACTTGAGTGCACGACCGACATGGACCGCATCACATATATTGCACCGCATATCTTGCACCGTATGTGTTGCGCGGATTGGATGGCACAGCGTACGTTTGTTTCACATAGGTCGCGCAACAGCGTTTGTTGGGAACGCAGTGCTTGGGTGGCTAACGCGATTTTTTCAAACAAGAGTAGCATGATTGTCCCAGACATCCGTTGCCCATATGTTTCTGAAGCGTGTGTCCTCCGAGATCCCGACCTCTTTCACCAGGGCCAGTTGTTCATCCTGCGCCGTTTTGTTGATTGCCCCAGAGGCCAGAGATGAGTGCAATCTGGGCGCTTCGACTGATGGGGCGCGTCGGGTAGTTGGCGTGGTGCTGGAAGTCGGCCAGGCGTGCTCGTGAGCAGAAGCTCCAGCTTCCCGGCTTCAGGAGGGAGCCCATTCCGAATCTTAGATCAGACCATAGATTATGGTGGCACCCCGAAGGGAGCCAAGTCCCAAACCTAGATCACACCACAGGGCTGGACTTACTCGCTGTTTTGCTGGACCTCGTCTGTGTGTTGTTTTTCGTTTTAGGAGGGAGGCGGAGGGAAACAGGTAGAGCAAAACGAAGCACACACAACGAAAACAAAACGAACGACAACGTTTAGGTCCAGCCCTGTCACACCATAAGAGTTGGTGAGGGGCGCCTGACCTGAACCTCCAGCTCCCCCCGCGCCCCTGACCTGAGCCTCCAGGTCCCCTCCCTTTGCCCGGCCCGGCGGCGGCCTCGCGCGCGCGCGCGACAGAACGTGACTTCTCCTCCTCCTTCATATTCCTCCTCCTCTTCCTCCTACATTTCCCTCTCCTCCTCCTCCTCCTCCTCCTCCTCCTCCTCCTCCTCCTCCTCCTCCTCCCCCTCCCAACCATGTCCTCCTCCCCCTCTTCTTGGCCCCCGACCCGATTTTTTCCCACCATGGGGCCCCCAGGCCCCTCGTTCCATTCCCAGTGGCCCCGGACCTCCGTCGCATCGAAAGCATAAAGTCGGAGTCTGTTCCCCGTGTTCGGGTCTAGATGGGGGCCCATCGCCGAGCCAGGTAGCCGTCGAGCATCCCGGGGGGGGGGGGGGGCCTGTTGAACAACAGCGAGAAGACATCGGACGTGTGGGTCCCCCCTCTGGAGGAGAGGGAGGGGAAGAAGGGCGGTCGATGTTCGGGGATGGAGGTTGGCACGTTGTCGTCGGTTCTCGTCGGCGGGTTTCCACCCTCGCCGCCTCGGTGACTGCAGTCCAGCAGCTCCGTGAGTGAGCGACATGAACTCATCGGATCTCTGGGGGGACAGGCTTTCGTCCCGGCCGAGTATTGATTTCTCTCGGGGGCGGAAAAGAGGGGGGTGATGACTAGGGGGGGGTGGATCTCATGGCGGGGGCCATGATATTTCCCCAGATTTCATGGCGCCCCTTCTTATTTCATTACGTCCCTGGCCCCCCCGCTGGGCCGCGCACATGCCGCCGGTCATGATTTGCACCCCCCCCTCTTGGACACCCCCCTCTTGGCCGCTCCCGATTCTCGGCCCCAGAGCTCGCAGAAGGCCCTGTCCTTTGGGGGTCAAAACGATAGACAGACAAGTGCCTGCGCTGCTTCCTGTTCCCGAGACGCCACGGGGCTCCCGAGGTTTCTGAGCCCCCCCCCCCCCCTGCGGATGTATCCAGAGGTTCCTCGGGGGCTACCAAACAAGGCCAAACAACAGGTACTCAAGTATCCTCCTTCTCCCTCCTCTCGACCCCTCCCCCCGATCCCCTTCAGTCTTCCTCGATCCCCCTCGATCTTTCCTGATTCTCCTTGATGTGCCTCGATATCCCTCGATCCCCCTCGATATCCCTCGACTCCCCATGGATCCTCCCCGATCCCCTTCGATCCCCCCTCGATCCTCCTCTGATCCTCTGGATCACCCTCGACCCCTCGATCGTCCTCGATCCACCCTTCTCTTTCTTTCTCTTGTCGGGCCGTACGAAAGGGGGGGATAGGGAAAGAGAGGGTTACGGTATCTGCTGCATGCAGCTGCTTTCGGCCTCGCCGCCGGGCCCATTCCTCGATACAAGGCGGCCTCCCAGCGCCGGGAGGCGCCGGGAAAATCAGCTACGTGAGCTGATTCTCAAACCCCCCCTTTGCTATCCCCCCCTTTTGCCCGGCCCGATCTTGGTAGTGAGCGCGGGCCGGAGGCGAAGATGAAGAACGAGGCGAACGAGATGTGGGAGCTCAACCGCCTCCGCCTCGGGGGGAGCCCCGATCTCTCTTCACGATCGGGCCCCCGAATGTCGGGCCATCGGGATCGAGGAGGGCAACTTGAGATATCGATCGAGGTCGAGGGAGGGAGAAGGGCGGAGGGAGGGGGAGAGGGAGGGAGGGAGGGACGGAGCAGGATGAGGAGGAGGAGGAGGAGGAGGAGAGGAGAGGAGGAGGGGAGAGAGGGAGGGAGGGAGGGAGGAGATGAGGAGGAGGAGGAGGAGGAGGAGGAGGAGGAGGAGGAGGAGGAGGAGGAGGAGGAGGAGGAGGAACATCCAAGATCAGAGGGGGGAAAAGGTGCCGGCACCGCTACCTTTCCTTTGTGTTTGTCGACGTTTTTGGGGGTTCCCTCGGGGGGCCCTCGTGGCCACGGCCGAGTTCGCCGCGGAAGCCTGGGCAGCACGCGCCCCTGGAGAGGTCCAGGCAGCAGCGGTATCGGTGCGTTCCTGTTGTCAGCAGCCAGGCGGAGGCTGGCGCGGCTGCTAGAAAGGAGCTCCGGGAAGTCGTTGTTCCCTTCCGGGAGGCAGGCCGTGTGCTATTTTTGGGCGCTGGGTTAACATTGTGCGGGAATGTGGTGCTTTCTTCCAGGAAGGCCGTTTTGGCAGCCACGGATGTGCCAGCCCTCGCCCAGCTTCCGTTTTTGGTTTTCCCCAGGATAGTGGCCAAATTGGGTCAAACAGTTTGGAGGTCCGCGCGGGTTTGGATCGGCTCCAGGCCCCCCGGTGACCATCCTCCTCCCTTCCCATGGCGCCAGCATCGCAGAGCGGATGTCGCCCAGACGACAACAGGATGGGCCTGGAGTGTCCTGGAGAATCTCGTTCCGGATTGCGAAGTGAGTTTCCTGCGGGTTCTCTTGGCCAGGACGGAGGACTCAACAACTCCCACGCGAAATTAACTTCGTTATTCGCTCGCCGCTTCGGGGTTCTGCATTACCAGACCCCCGACGTCATGATTTCTTCATGACGTCGACCCCAGAGGTCTGGACCCCTTCCCCGGGGCCAGGTTTTCATCCTTGTGTTTTTTTCTGACGTTCCCGAGGCCCGGCGAGGGCCCCCAGAGGCCGAAGATTGCGAAAAACCTTCCGTCGTGTTTTTTTCATGCCTCGAGGGGGTCTGGGCGGGCAGAAATCCGAGCAAAAACCCGCTGCAGCACGTCTGCAAGGTCGGTGCAGCGACCCTCCCCAGGCATCCCGCTGGCCCGCCCGGAGCCGTCTTGGCCGCTCCAGCGGCCCGCGAACATGCCGCGACCCTCCAGACCTAGCGTTAAGCCGGGCATGTTCAAAAGTGGCCAAAAATAGCATGGAGACAATTTGTTGACAATTCTTTGCTATGTTTGAATATTAGTTGAAGCATTTTTGTTCGTCACGAATCCGCCTGTATGGGGGACCTGCCCGACCCAAACCTAGCGAGAGGGGACCTGGGGGAGAGGCGAACCTTTCTCCTTGAAGGGGAAGAAGGAGGGTGGAACATGGAGGCGGCCGGGGAGTCTGAGCTGGTTGGGACCCCAGAGAATCGGTCACGAGGGGGGGGATGGGTCCAAATCCGCTCCACAGCGGGCCCCTGACCCCTCGCGGGGTCTATCCCTGGTGGCGCTGTTCACCTCGGATCCATTTTTCATGGCCCCGGGGTCCGAAAACGTGTCCAGGAGGCCGAAAACAGCAAAACTTGCTCGAACCCACAAACTCGAAGCTGCCCGCCTCTCCTGCTGGTCCGAGTCAGTGCTGGACCACCGAAGGCCCCCCGACGACTCCAAGTTGGAACAGCGAATTCGCTGAACCACCTTGGCGGAAGTCTAGGCCTCCTAGATGGGGTCGGAGTAGATGGGGTCGGAGGATCGCGCCGCATCGCCGATGCATCGGCGATGCATCGGCGATGCGGCTCGATGTGGGGCCCAGTTTTCTCCACGCCGACGTCGCGGATGTATCGCCGACGTCGCCAGTGCATGGCCGATGCATCGGCGATGCATCGCTGATGTATCGGCAATGCGGCGAGATCCTCCGACCCCATCTACTCGGACCCCATCTAGGAGGCCTCTAGGAAGGAGGTGCTCGGCGGCGGAGTCCGAACCCTGGCCTCGCCGGGCAATGATTCAGGCAGCTCGATGAACGGCGGGGGCGGGGTTCGGAATTCGTCGAGCGCGCGGCGAAGTCCGAACCCTACCCCCGCCTCCCATCGACCCAGAGGAATCGCGGGTGGTAGGGTTGGGATGTCGCTACCTCAGCGCTGGCATTCGAGCGTGAGTTGCCTGCGTAAGGTCGCGCGTAAGCGACCTCGTCTCCAGTACAGCGTGCCGCGCTGGCGGTCGCGTAATCTACCGCGTGGAGCCGCTATGCCATCGCGCGCAAGACCCGTTTTTTCGTCGCGCACTTAATTATCCTCTTCCCCTCCCAGACATCCAGCGCCTCGAACAAAGCTCGAGACGGCCTAGTGTCTCGCCATCCGTTTGGCCTCCAAGAGGCTGGCTGGCCCCAGTCTCCCAGGGACCACCAAGAAAACGACCCGGGCTGTCCAGGAGCTTGTGTCTCGGATGGAACGACGAGCCGCCGAATGTCTGGATCTTTCTCTTCCGGACGGCACCGAACTGAAAAGAGGAGAGGAAGGAGGAGGAGGAGGAGGAGGAGGAGGAGGAGGGGGAGGAGAAGGAGGAGGAGGAGGAGGAGGAGGAGGGGAAGTAGGAAAGGGGGAAAATCAGGAGCAGTAAGGTCGAGGAGGAGGATGAGAAGGAGGAGGAGGAGGAGGAGGAGGAGGAGAAGAGGAGGAGGAGGAGAGGGAGTAGGAGGATTCTGACCGTCTCCAGATGTCTCCCGAGTCCTCCGCGGAGGTTCCTGGAGTTTTTCCCGAGTCCCACGAACCGTCAACAACCCCGACTTCCGAGGCTCTGTTTTTGTTCCACTACGGGGCCCTCGGGAGCTCTGGGCCACTTTCGGGAGGGCATCGGTCCTTCACCCCGGATCGCTTTCTGACGATCCTGGGGGCCAGCGGAGGACCCCAGAGGCAGAAGATCATGCGTCATCTTTGTCTTGCGCCTTCGAGGCGTCGGAGGTCAATGCGCCCGAAAGCCTCGCGCCCACCTGGCGTGCCCCTGGTGGGCCCCAGGGGGCCCCTTTCGAATACTAGAGGTGCACCTTTCTCCACCCCTCCTCCTCCTGCCCCCTCCTCCCCCGCCTCCTCCTCCTCCTCCTCCTCCTCCTCCTCCTACTCTCCTCCTCCCTCCTCCTCCTCCTCCTCCTCCCTCCTCCTCCTCCTTCCTCCTCCTCCTCCTCCTCCTCCTCCTCCTCCTCCTCCTCCTCCTCCTCCTCCTCCTCCTCCTCCTCCTCCTCCTCCTCCCCCCCCCGCGCTCGCGTCGCCAGAGGTCCCCGCGCGGCGGCCCCCCGAGGCCTCCGGAGGTGGCCCCCGCCAGCGTGCAGGGCAGAGGGGGCCCCAGTGGGCTCGGGGGGGGGAAGGGAGCAAGGGAGGAAGGGAGGGAGGGGGGACGGGAGGGAGGGAGGAAGAGAGGAAGGGGGGAAGGGGGGAAGGGCGGACGGGAGGAAGGGGGGAAGGGCGGAATGGAGGAAGAGGGGAAGGTGGGAAGGGGGAAGGGCGGAAACGAGGAAGGGGAGAAAGGCGGAAGGGAGGAAGGGTGGAAGGGGGGAAGGGCGGAAGGGAGGAAGGGAGAAAGGGGGGAAAGGCGGAAGGGAGGAAGGGGGGAAGGGGGGAAGCGCGGAAGGGAGGAAGGGGGGAAGGGTGGAAGGGAGGGAGGGAGGGAGGGAGGAAGAGGAAGAGGGGGGGGGAGGGAGGGGGGAAGATTTTTCTTTCCAGGGCTGGACCTGAACGGTGTGTTTGGCGATGTCGTGGGCCGTTTTCGGTTCGGCTTCGTTGCGCCGTAGAGGTGCATCGAAGACAAAGCGAGGGAGAACGAAGACAACACGGAAACGAACAAACACCGTGTAGGTTCAGCCCTGTTTCCTTTTTCGGGAGGAAGATGCACAAGTAATCAGATAATAGACTGGGGACGATGCTTCGACTACTTCTTCCCTCTTCTTGAGTATGGTTTGACTATGTTTGTGTTGATATTTCTATGTTTTCGTCCAAAATGCCCGCCTGTAGAAGGACAGGCCCGACCTAACCCCACCCCCGCCTCCCATCGATTCAGGAGAATCGATGGTCGGTGGGGGTAGGAGGAGGAGAAAGAGGAGGAGGAGGAGGAGGAGGAGGAGGAGGAGGAGGAGGAGGGGGAGGAGGAAGAGGAGGGGGAGGAGTAGGAGGAGCAGGAGCAGGAGCAGGAGGGTTCGGATGGCGCGACCCAGCGAACAGGTTCTGTTTGGACGGTTGCAGCAACTTCTTCGGCACGTCCCCGCACGTCTTCGGGCCTGGAGGGCCTGTCGGCCGCCCCCGGCGCTCCAGATCCCAGGCGGCTCAGGGACCGGAGCTCCAGGGTCGTGGCGCCCACATTGCACGGGCGGTTCAAACCGAGGTTGTGTGTTCCCCTTTTTCTGCTTCCGGGAGGGTGGGGGCCCTCCTGGCCGTCTCCAATTCTGAGATCCTTGAGGTCCACCGCATGAGCAAGCATCAGCACGACGCAAGCACAACGAATCGTCGATCCCCCGAAGATATCAGAGAAAATGTGGGAAGGGGGGGGGTGCGAGAAGGGGGGGGCGGGGGGCGAAAACCCAGAAAGTAGAAGAGAATATGGAGGCTCCTGGGAGTTGTGTCTCTGTATGTGTGTGTCCCTGGGCCTCTTTTGCAGACTTCAGAACGAGGTTGTGTGTTCGCCTTTTTCTGCTTCCGGGGGGGGCCCTCGCTTCCCAGAGGCGGCTCGGAGTGGCGCGAGCTGGTCGCCGGAGCAGCGGTCGGAACGTCCGGGGGCTGGTCCCAGGCCTCCCAGAGGAGGTCCGAGCAGATTGGTCGACCAGACGTAAGAGTGACCCTTCGCCGGAGTGACCTCTGGTGCGGGCCCAATGGGTCATGGCGCCAACGTCGCAGAGCGGAGTTCGTTCGGAAAACGATGGGATGGGCCCGGGGTGTCCTGGAGAGTCTCGTTCCAGATATTTCGAGGTGATTTTGGCCAGGGATGAAGGCCAAAAAGAATCCACGCGAAATTCAGTTCGTTTTTCGCTCGCCGTTTCGGGCAGAAATCCACAGAAATCCGCTGCAGCACGTCTGCAAGGCAGGTGCAATGACAAGGGGGGCATGTAAACTTGCCTATTTATAAGTCGGGCGTGTCCCTCTACAGGGGGACGATCCCAAAATAATGCAAAAATCGTCTGGGGACTATTTTTTCTGTATGTTTTTGCTATGTTTGCACATGTTCTGGGAATTCTTTATTGTTTCATCCGAAATCCGTCTGTAGGAGGACATGCCCGACCGAAGCCTACCTACTCGCACACGCGCGCAGAGAACAGCAGGAACATCAGAAATGACTCCTGTGCCCAATTTGCTCCGCACGTGTCCCATCGCTGCCCGACCGCAGCTCGGTTCCGAGACGCCGGTGGCTAAGATATCAATAGGTCTGGCATGGCCTCCTACAGGCAGATTTGAGAAGAAAAACGCAACCTAGTCAAACAATATTCAAAATAGCGAAACACAGTCAAAACATCGTTCCCAGATTCTTTTTTTTTTGTTTGAGTATTCCTCCTGTAGAGGGACATGTCCGACGTAAAGATACTGTTTCAAGAGAGCCATTTATCCCCGGGGGGATAACGGGCATGGGGGGGGGGCCAGTCACGTCACGTCTCGCGCTGGCGCCGTTTGGGAATGTCTAGGCATAACCTAAAATCCAGCGCGGAGGTCAGCACGAATCGTGACATTACCAGGGGGGGGGCAGGAGAGGCGGGCGGCTGGGGCCCGCAACGGCCGCTACAGTCGACCAGAATAGTAAGGACGGGCACCCTTCTCAAGGGTACCCTCAAATTGCATCCTTGCCCCCTCGGCCCATCCTGAGAGACTCTCACTGGCCAGCCTCGTGCGAAGAAGCGTTCACTTGGCCTTCTAACGCCCTTGCATCCTTACCGCGCATACTTCTGATACGGGTTGACTGTACCCATCGGTCTTTGAAAGTAGGTATTTGTGGGCTCTCAGATTCCAATCTAGTTTAGGCGCCTTCCTACTTCAAGAGTCGAGTGGCTTCACCTTTTCCGTCCTCTCTGGGGGGCGGGCGGACACCCTCTCTGTTTTCCACGCCTTCCTACCTCATGTTTCTACCTATTTTTTTTCCGACCGACGAGCATCGCAAAGCATAACATTCGCTCTCCCGACCTCCCGGTCATATCCCCGGGACCACTTTTCGTCCCGAGTCGTTTCTTGACGGTCCCAAGGCCCGGCGAGGGCCCTGAGAGGCCGAAAACGGCCCAAAACCTCCAGGATTGTGATTCCTCCACGACGCGATCCTGTCTGGGCCCCCTGGGGAGTGAGGAGGAGGAGGAGGAGGAGGAGGAGGAGGAGGAGGAGGAGGAGGAGGAGGAGGAGGAGGAGGTGAGGCCGAAAACGACGAAACACATCAGCCGCGATTTTTTCGAGACGCCCGAAGTCTGGGCACCCGCCGCGCCCTCCGCGCGCGTCGCTGCCCGGCCGCCGAGGCCTCGGCACCGCCGGCCTCGCCGAGCGGAAAGAGGCGGGGCCCGCGCGGCGGGGCGGCCCAGCGGCGGGCCTCCACGGCTGCGCCGTGCTAGGCTTGGAGCCAGCTTGGGGTCTCGTGCGGAGGAGGAGGAGGAGGAGGAGGAGGAGGAGGAGGAGGAGGAGGAGGAGGAGGAGGAGGAGGGGGATAGGAGGGGGAGAGAAGGAGGAGGAGGAAGAGAAGGAGGAGGAGGAGGAGGAGGAGGAGAGGAGGAGGAGGAGGAAGAGGAGGGGGATGAGGGGAGGAGGAGGAGGAGGAGGAGGAGGAGGAGGAGGAGGAGGTAGGAGGAGGAGGAGGAGGAGGAGGAGGAGAGAGGAGGAGGGGAGGGAGGAGGAAGGAGATGCAGAACATGAAGAGGAGGGGGAGGAGGAAGAAGAGGAGGAGCTGCACAGCTGATGCCCGCTCCACGTGCAAGAGGACGGGGAATGAGGAGGCGAGGAGGGGAGGAGCCCCGGCCGCGGCGATCCCCGATGGCAGCCGGGCAGTGCGCACACGCGCGCGTGTGCCTGGCCCGCGCCGTGGGGCCCGACCGCTGGGCGGAGGCGGCGCTGGCGCCCACACTTGGAGCCAGCTGGGGTGTCTGAGGTGGCCCAGCACTGCTCCTGGCCAGCAGGGAGGAGGAGGAGGAGGAGGAGGAGGAGGAGGAGGAGGAGGAGGAGGAGGAGGAGGAGGAGGAGGAGGAGAAGGCGGAGGAGGAGGAGGAGGCGGAGGAGGAGGAGGAGGAGGAGGAGGAGCAGGAGGAGGAGGAGGAGGAGGAGGAGGAAGAGGGGAGGAGGAGGAGGAGGAGGAAGTCTGAGGCGTCTGGTGGGTCTGAGGTGGCCCAGCACTGCATCTGGCCAGCAGGAAGGAGGGGCAGATTCGAGGCGCTGGCCGGAAGTTTCTTGCTGTTTCTTTATGTTTTTTGTCTCCAGGTGTCGCTTTCGGGCCCCAGGACCACCAGAAACCGACCCGAGGGATTTGGGGGGGTGGGGGGGGAAATCTGCACCAGAGGGAGCCTGGGAGGGCCGATTGTGTGAGCGGATGTGGCTTCCTCCCTTCAGGCCTGGCTCATTGCCCGGGCCCCCAGCCAGATCAGACCTGCTGGCCGTCTCCAATTCTGAGATCCTTGAGGTCCAACGCATGGGCAAGCATCAGCACGACGCAAACACGATGAATCGTCGATCCCCTCGAAGATACCAGAAAATATGGGAAGGGGGGGGAGCGGGAACGGAGGGGGGTGCGAAAACCTAGAAAATAGAAGAGAATATGGAGGATCCTGGGAGTTGTGTCTATGTATTTGTGTGTCCCTGGGCCTCTTTTACAGACTTCAGAACGAGGTTGTGTTTCGCCTTTTTCTGCTTCCGGGGGGGGCCCTCGCTTTCCAGAGGCGGCTCGGAGTGGCGCGAGCTGGTCGCCGGAGCAGCGGTCGGAACGTCCGAGGGGCCGGGCCCAGGCCTCCCAGAGGAGGTCCGAGCAGATTGGTCGACCAGACGTAAGAGTGACCCTTCGCCGGAGTGACTTCTGGTGCGGGCCCACTGGGTCATGGCGCCAACGTCGCAGAGCGGATTTCGTTTGGAAAACGATGGGATGGGCCTGCAGTGTCCTGGAGAATTTCGTTCTCGATTTCGAGGTGAATTTCGTGCGGATCTTTTTGGCCAGGAATGACAAGAAATCCACGCGAAATTCACTTCGCTTTTGGCTCGCCTTTTCGGGGTTTTGAGTTGACAGAAATCCACGCGAGAATCCGCTGCAGCACGTCTGCAAGGTCGCTGCAGTGAAATGGGGCCCCCTAATCGCCGAGTGCGATGCAGCAGTAGCGTCTTGCGCGCTCCGGCTTTGTCCCCCCGCGGCCCCCCAAAAGCCGCGCACCAAAGGTCACTCTCACCCAGGGTCGCTCTTGAGTGTAGCCGAATTGAGTTGGAAGGACCGCGCCGCATCGCTGATGCATCGGCGAGTTCGGTGGCATATACTGGGAGTCTTGTATACCCTCGCAGTTCCGTCTTCAGCGTCGACTCGCGTCGATTGGCGTCTAGAGTCGATGAGATGGTGCCGACCTTGCGTCGATTTAGCGTCGATTAGCGTCGACTTGGCGTCGATTCGCGTTGACCAGCGTCGATTCGCAAGTAGCCGACAAGAGGGTATGGGAGGCTCCCATGAGCTGCCACCGAAGGCGAGGCTGCTCGATGTGGAGCCCGCTTTTCTCCACGCCGACGTCGCCGATGCATGCACTGGCGATGCGGCGCGACCCTCTGACCCCAGGCTCGGGCCGCACTTCGGAGGCCTCTAGCTGTGCAGTCGCAGGCGCCGAGATCACCGGGGCACCCCTCGGGCGCGAAGATAGCTTGAGCAGGACTGTCACCGCCTACCAAACCACCCCAACCCAACCCGAAGGCCTCAATTCGCCCTCCATTTCCAGTGGGGGGGGGTCTCGGGGAACACTGTAAAAACACATGGAATCCGCACCCCCCCCAACCCGAAATTCGATTCAAACTCGGGTCTTCGGATTGGGTTGGGGTGGTCTGGTAGGTGGTCAGACTGGGGGTCCGAGGAGTAACACGCACCGATGCCGCTGCTCGTTCCGGGGAGCTCTCGTCGCCACGGCCGGGCTCTGTTCGGAGCTCCGTGGTCAGAACGCACCCCTGGAAAGGCCCGTGGAGCAGCAGCATCGGTACACCTGAGGCGATGCTTAAGAAGACTTGATTTTTCGGCCAGAGTCTCGATTATTCTTAATGTTTCGATGTAAATCCTAAGATTTGAATAGACATTTTGGGTTTTTATTCCAGTTCTGAGACTATGAATTTCTTAACCCATGATTTCTTAAGCATTTCGCAGGGTGTACATTCGGGGCGCTGAACAAGGAACCCTTCTCGTTGCGGAGGGGCTCCGTGTTCCTTAATTGTTTCGCAACTTGCCGTAGGTTGTCCTCAGGTTTTTGGATGGGGAATCGAAGTTTAACTCATGGAGCAGGGGGGCCCCGTTCCATATTTAGGGTTCCTTCCTCAACGCCCCGGCGGTACGATCTCTTCCTCCATAAGTCTGGTCAGAGGTCGTCCTCCATGGGGTTCGCGTGGTGGAAGGCCTCGCCCGTCAGGGCGACGACCATTTGCAGAACGACTAGTCGGGCCCAAGCTGCGTCACGGTAGACAGTTCTGCAGTGAGTGTCGACCAGACTTGCACGTTCAGAGGTCCGCAGTGAGTGTCCCCCCCGCTCCTCGAGAGACATCGGTACCGTGAGATTCGGCGGGAGGGGCCGACACATCGGGCCCAACATACGACCGTGGCAGCTCTTGCCCTCTACTCGACTCGGAAGTCGGGCAAGGGCTGCTAAATCAGTGGCTGCTAAGATCGACCTCCGGGAAGTTGCCTTCGTCCTTCCGGGAAGGAGCCCGTTGACTGTTTCGCGTGCCGCGCCTCATTCCGGGAAGTTGTGTTTTCCTTCCGGGAGGGCCGTCTATAGCAGCCACGGTGTTAGCAGCCCTCGCCCAGCTTTCCATCGACGGTGCAGAGGTTGGTCGCGCACGCTGCGAGTGGAGCCGCGACGGGCCTCCTGCGTGGATGCCGCGCGGCCTCCAGCCTTCCCCTCTGCAGCGGGCCCGCGCGTCGTGTCTCCCGCCTCGCCTGCGAGCAAGAGCACGGCGGAGGGCACGGCGCTGCCGCCTGCAGAGCGGCGCTCCCAGCCTGCCCGACCTCGGCCTGCTCTTGCGTCCGCGTCCGCGGCTCCCGGCGCCGGCAGAGGCCGCACTGGAGCGCTGCGCGCGCCGGCTGCGACGGCTGTCCTGGGGATGCAGAGAGGGGGGAGGGGATGGCTTGGCCTCGGGGGGCGCTCTCCCGCGGCTGCGCCTCGCCGAGAGCGCTCCGGAGCACGGCCGCCGGGCGGCGGCTGTCCTGGGGATGCAGAGAGGGGGGGGGATGGCTTGGCCTCGGGGGGCGCCCTCCCGCAGCTGCGCCTCGCCGAGAGCGCTCCGGAGCACGGCCGCCGGGGACCCGAGCCATGACCCGAGCGCGATCGCTGTGTCATCTGCTGTCTTGCCGATCGGCGCGGGCCTTCGCGCTCCTCCTCCTCCTCCTCCTCCTCCTCCTCCTCCTCCTCCTCCCCTTCTCCTCCTCCCTTCCTCCTCCTCCTCCCTCCTCCTCCTCCTCCTCCTCATCCTCCTCCTCTCCTGCCTCATCCATCCTCCTCCCTCCTCCTCCTCCTCCTCCTCCCCCTCCTCCTCCTCCTCCTCCTCCTCCTCCTCCTCCTCCTCCTCCTCCTCTTCCTCCTCCTTCCCCCCTTCTCCATGGAGTAGATCCTGGCTGTTTTGGGCGCCCGTTTCGAGAAGGCGGGATCTCCCCCGGAGGACGCAGGGTGCCGAACAGCCGCATGGAGCGGAGGTCCCGAGCCAGACCCCGCCCCCCTTCCGCCCAATGTGGAGACGCCGAATAAGACAACGCTCACAATGCCAGGCGACGAGGAGGGCGTCCGCGGTTCGGTCGGTCTGGCCGCGTCGCAGTTGGTCGCGTTCGGTCGGCTCGGTTCGGTCGGCTACTGGGATGAGGGAGTGAGGAGGGAGGAGGGAGGAGGGAGGAGGGAGGAGGGAGGAGGGAGGAGGAGGAGAAGGAGAAGGAGAAGGAGAAGGAGAAGGAGTAGTAGTAGTAGTAGTAGTAGTAGTAGTAGTAGTGTAGTAGTAGTCGTAGTAGTAGTAGTAGTAGTAGTAGTAGTAGTAGTAGTAGTAGTAGAGTAGTAGTATTAGTAGTAGTAGTAGTAGTAAGTCAGTAGTAGTAGTAGTAGTAGTAGTAGTAGTAGTAGTCGTAGTAGTAGTCGTAGTAGTAGTAGTAGTAGTAGTAGTAGTAGTAGTAGTAGTAGTAGTAGTAGTAGTAGTAGTAGTATAGTAGTAGTAGTAGTAGTAGTCGTAGTAGTAGTAGTAGTAGTAGTAGTAGTAGTCGTAGTCGTAGTCGTAGTGTAGTAGTAGTAGTAGTCAGTAGTAGTAGTAGTAGTGTAGTAGTAGTAGTAGTAGTAGTAGTGTAGTAGCGTAGTAGTAGTAGTAAGTAGTAGTAGTAGTTAGTATAGTAGTAGTAGTAGTAGTAGTAGTAGTAGTAGTCGTAGTAGTAGTAGTAGTAGTAGTCGTAGTAGTAGTCGTAGTAGTAGTCGTAGTAGTAGTAGTAGTAGTAGTAGTAGTAGTAGTAGTAGTAGGAGGAGGAGGAGGAGGAGGAGGGGGGAGGATGAGGAGGAGGAGGGGGTGGAGGAGGAGGAGGAGGAGGAGGAGGAGGAGGAGGAGGAGGCCTTTCGGCTTCGGTCGGCTTCGGTGTCGCTGCCTGCGCGGTCGGTTGTCGGCTTTGAGTGCTGCCCGAGGCTTCTGGGCGTGCTCGCTGTACAGTGGAGACCCATGCCAAGAAACACCCTACTTGCCTCCAGGGTGCCCTAGGTTTCTTCGGTTTCGATGTTTTCGCCATGGAAAACGTGACGTTCCCACGCCAAAAATCGATGGACGTCCTGGGGTTTCAGGGCTGGGCTTCTTGAGGAAGGTTTCTTGTGGACTGGCCTCCACTGTATGACCCGAATGCCAGGCGACGGGGAGGGCGTCCGCGGTTCGGTCGCTCTGGCTGCGTCGCAGTCGGTCGCGTTCGGTCGGCTCGGTTCGGTCGGCTACTGTGCCGTGGTTGCGTCGCTGCGCCCCTCTGAGAGGAGGGAGGAGGGAGGAGGGAGGAGGGAGGGAGCGAGGGAGAGAGGAGGAGAAGGAGGGAGGCAGCGAGGGAGGGAGGGAGGGAGGGAGGGAGGCAGGGAGCGAGGGAGGGAAGGAGGGAGGAGGAGGAGGAGGAGGAGGTGGAGGAGGAGGAGGAGGAGGAGGAGGAGGAGGAGCAAGAGGAGGAGGAGCAGGAGCAGGAGCAGGAGGAGGAGGTTGAGGAGGAGGAGGAGGAGGAGGAGGAGAAGGAGCAGGAGGAGGAGGAGGAGCAAGAGGAGGGAGGAGGCGGGCACGTCTCTCTTCAGGGGGAGTATGCAAAAATGGTCAAACCATAGTGTGGGGACGACCTGTTGACCATTTTTTAAATTGTTGTTGATCATTTTGTATTTGGGATGTTTAGGTTCTTTGTCGCCCAGAATCCGCCTGTATAGGAGGCCATGCCCGACCGAATGCTTCTTTGAAGGAGCGGGCCTTGTCTGTAGGCGCAAGGCCGGCGCCGTCCAAGAAGCAGCCTCCTTCGGCGAAGCCTCTCACCCTCTCCCTGCCCCCTTGGTGCGCGCCCTGCCAGCAGTAGCACACTGCATTCAGAGTGCTTGGCTCCGCTACGAGTTTCTCCTCGTCGTCCCCGCTGCACGTAGCGGGTTCTGGGGAGGCTGGGCGTTCGAACGCTTCCGTCGGTTCTCGGTTCCTGCTTCTGGGTGCGCTCCCGCAGCTGCGCCTTGCCGAGAGCGCCCCGGGGGGGGGGCGAGTTGTCCCGAACTGCCGCCAGAGACCCGAGTTATGACGCGAAGGCCAGCACTAGTTTCCCCCCTCCTTCTCCCCTCCCTCCTGTCCCTCCCCCCAATGCGTCTCACGCTGCCCAGTTGAACCTCGACTTCTCGAAGGACGACGAAGAGAAGAGGAGGGGCCAGGGCGACGGCAAAGAACGCAATAGCTACCATCACCACAGTTATCATCAACGTCGCCGTCGCCGTCATCATCACCACCACCGTAATCACCAGCATCGAATCCACCAAAATCATCACCAGCCCCCTCATCACCCTCGTCGTCCAATTTCGTCCCTGCTCGGGCTTTCAGCCGAGCAGCGTTCTTCGTGGACCCCCCCTTTCCCAGTTCCCTCCCACACGCAGACGCGGATGGCGCGTATGCAGTGGCAGCCGGCAAGGGGCCTGGTTTTGCGGAGCAGGGAGGCAGTTCTCGGACAGCTGTCTAGCATGCTCGGAGGCATGCCGGTAGTCAAACTGGCGGAAGGGCTGGCTGGACATGGGATCGCACCTCCACTGGCCGGACGTTCTCCAGGGCTTCAGAGTGAAGCGATCGGGTCCTGAGGGAAAGGGTCCTCGAGGTTTGTAGGCACTTTTTAGGACCGTCGCAAGTTGACCCGGGGGGATGGCCTCGGGGTTCTCCGGGCGGAGCTAGGGCAGGAGTGAATCGTTCCAGAGCGTTCCGCAAAGCTCTGAGAAGGCCGCGGCGCCCGATGCATCCTCCAGAATCGCTGGATCTCAGAGGTCCCCGAGTTGTCCCGGTCCGATGTCGTGCCTGCCCGTTCCTCGGCCTGGTCCAGGAGCAGTCTCCAGTGGTGCCCGCTCCTTCGGATGCAGCTCCGCGGAGGTCAGGTTCTGACTCTGCCCTGGTCCGAAATTCGTTCTCAGCCGGCTTATTTCAAGAGGGAAAAAACACACAGACACAATGAATCGCCGATTCCCAAGAAAATGCGAAAAAATATGGGAAGTGGGGGAAGACAAAAACCCAGAAAATATTGGGAAATACCGGAATCCTGTTATTTGTGTAGATTTTTTGTGTGTCTTCTTCATTGATCCGATTTTATCCGGATCCATCCCATTTAACCCCGCTCACTCCCACTTCACCCCGCTTCATCCGGCTGGCTCCTGCTTCCTCCGCGGCCTCATCCGGCGCAGCAGTCCCCAGCAGGGGGCTCAGTCCTCTTGACCCAGACCCCCGACGCCGTGACTTTTTGTCACAGCGTCGACCCCCAGAGGTCTGGACCCCTTCCCCTGGACCGGTTTTCCACCCTGAGTCGTTTCGTTGACGGTCCCGAGGCCCGGGAAGGGCCCCCGGAGGCCGACAACAGCGAAAAGCATCCCGCCGTGTTTTTGGTTCACAGCGCGAGGGGCTCCGACGCAGACCTCCCAGCAAAGGCCTCCTACGGTGGGGGCGTTGGTCCAGGAATGCGCCCAGGATGCTGCAGACCCTGGAGGATTCTCTGTCTGATGAGGGCGGCGGTGCCCGTCCGGATTTTTTGCCACGCGATCATGCCTGGGATGCTCGGGTGAGCACCACCCCGCACGTCCCTTCCCTCCACCTCTGCCGCCCTTCCTCCCCCAGCCCCCCCCAAAGACCCGAGGATATGTTTTTTCCAATCCGGCGTTTTTTCCTGGATTTCGGCCTCCGGGGCCCGCTCTTGGGCCCAGAGACCATCAAACATGGATCCGGGGCGAAAAAACACCCCTGCCCGGCCCTTCCGAAAGGAGCCCATCCGGCGCGCCGAATGGCCTCCATCGAGCGCGAAGCGTGGGAGGTGCCCACAGACCGATCAACAGAAAAAAGACGGAGACCACCCGGCGCCGAATGGACCCTCGAGATTAGAGCCCATCCGGCGACAAAGGAGTCCGTCCGGCGTAAAACTCGGGCCGGGCGAAAGGGGGGGATTGGGAAAGGGGGGGTTACGAAATTTGCTGCATGCAGCTGGTTTCGGCCTCACCGAGGGGCCCATTCCTCGATACATGGCCGCCTCCGGCGCCGGGAGGCGCCGGGAAAATCAGCTACGTGAGCTGATTCTCAACCCCCCCCTTTGCTATCCCCCCCTTTCGCCCGACCCGAAAAACAGAGTCCATCCGGCGAACCGATAAAGCCCATCCGGCGCGCCGAAGGGACTCCATCCACTTCCGCCTCGCGGGGGGGGCTCTGCTCTTCGGGCCGCTCCCGCGACCTCCTCCTGGGGGGTCGGGGCGCCTGCTCGTGGGCGGGGGGCCCTCCGTGTCTCCGGGGGGAGCTCTCTCCGTCGTGCCCGCAGGTGCCTATGGCCTCTGCTTCGGGGCGCAGGGCGGAGGGTGAGATCTTCGCGGGTGCCGCTTCGGTGGGTCTTCGCGGCGGGAGCCTGCAAGGAGGTGAATCGCAAGTCGGACTGCTTTGCGAGGTGCAGGAGCCCAGATGGATCTCACCCTGAGCCCTCCACCCTCGGATGATGGGCCTGTTTTCCACCACCACCGCCATCATAAGTTGGAGGGGGAGGGGGTCCTCCTCCTCCTCCTCCTCCTCCTCCTCCTCGTCCTCCTCCTCCTCCTCCTTCCCCCTCCAACTTCTGGTGGTGGTGGTGGTGGAAAACAGGCCCACCCTAAGAAAACTTTCAGAGGTAGCACGGAGCCGCTTTGGTTCAAAGAGACTTGCTGGGCTGAAAGCGAGGGGCTGCCTGCAGCCTGTGGTGGTATCTCTGGGCTCGACGCCAGGGGTCGGCCAAAATATTGGGAGGAGGATGAGGAGGAGGAGGAGGAGGAGGAGGAGGAGGAGGAGGAGGAGGAAGAGGAGGAGGAGGAGGAGGAGGGGGTTCGTCAATCTCGTGGGTCGTTTTCTTCGTCTCGTCGCTCTCGTGTTGTTTTTCCAGCCCGGGGCCCGCCATTGGCCAATCCAATCACGATTTCGGATTTGCGCCAAAGCGCTGTTCCGGGCAATCGGTTGGACCCGGCAATCGGCTGGACCGCTTGCGGTCTGAAGGACCCGGAACGGGAACGACACGATCCCAGAGATCCGATATCTTGATTTTTTCAATGCGGGGTCCCCAGAAGTCCTGACCCTTTCCCCGGGACTCGTTTTTCGTCCCGAGCCGTTTTTTGACGGTCCCAGGGCCCGGCGAGGGCCCCGAGAGGCCCCAAACCGCGAACAACCTCCATTTTTTGATTTTTGAAATGCGTTGGATCTCTGAGATCACGCAACGCGCAGTTTGTCAAGCAGTGGCGAAGCGTCCTGGCTCGCCCATAGGCCCACCAAAGGATGTTCTAAGAACCTGTTGTGGTCTGCACGAGATGTTCCTAGAACATGTCTGGCCGAGGCTGTCTTGTCTGAACACGTCGGGCTCATGTTCTACGAACAGCGCTTCTGTTCTCGAAACATTGCTGGGCTCGAAGAACGTTTCGTGGTAGGCCTATAGGAATGCCGGGACGGTCGGTCTCTGCGCAGTTTGGGCCGACCTCTGCTCCGCACGGCCGCCCCCATGGCGCCGAAGAAGCGGCCCGCAGGCGCAGCGGACGGCGCCGCATGCGCCCCGAGTGCGAAGAAGCGCCCGGCGGCCGCCGCGTCGGCGTCGAGCAGCCTCGAGGGCGTCCACTGCATTGATGGGCCTGCTTTCCACCACCACCACCATAAGTTGGAGGGGGAGGGGGTCCTCCTCCTCCTCCGCCTCCGCCTCCGCCTCCTCCTTGTCCTTCTCCTCCTCCTCCTCCTCCTCGACCTCCTCCTCCTCCTCGTCCTCCACCTCCTCCCCCCCTCCAACTTCTGGTGGTGGTGGTGGAAAACAGGCCCATCATGCATCCCGTGTGCTCCCGGCGCGCCCCTCACGGCCAGCGCGCCCATGATCCGGCGGATGTTCGACGTCATAGAGAAGGAGGCTTCTAGTCAGAGGAGGGAAAGGTACCCATACCGCTACCCTTTGCCCGTTTTTTCCTTGTTTTGCCTCCTGGGAGGCCCTCGTCGCCACCGCTGGATTCGCCTCGAAATTCTGATCAGAACGCACCCCGGGAGAGGTCTGGGGAGTAGCGGTATCGGTACCTCTTGGTTTCCCCATCTGGGCCTCCCAGATGGGGTCGGAGTAGATGGGGTCGGAGGATCGCGCCGCACCGCCGATGCATCGGCGATGCGGCTCGATGCGGAGCCCGATTTGCTTCGCGTCGACGTCGCAGACGTGGACGATGCATCGCCGAGCCATCGCCGATGCATCGCCGATGTGTTGGCGATGCGGCGCGATCCTTCGACCCCATCTACTCGGACCCTATCTAGGGGGCCTCTAAGGTTGTCCCCAAGACAGAGAAGCTCGTGGCCGAGGGCAACAAGATGTTCGGTGCCGCGATCATGCGCGACGACCCTGGGCTCACCACGGTGGTCGCAGACTCGAACCACGAGATGCTGTGCCCGCTGTACCACGGCGAGATCTGGACGATCAAGCAGTGGTCGGAGCTGCCCGAGGATCAGCGGCCCGCCGCCTCTGAGTGTGTCTTCCTCTGCACGCACGAGCCGTGCTGCCTGTGCATCTCTGGGATCACCTGGGCGGGCTTCAAGAAGTGCTTTTATTTTTTCTCGTACGAGGATTCGAAGGTCCAGGGCATACCTCACGACCTGAACATCATGCACCAGCTGTGGCAGGTGTCGAGCTATGCCAAGTGTAACGCGTTCGTGACGACTTGCGGGCTCAAGGACGAAATTGACAAGTGCGAGGAGGCAGACAAGGCAGAGTTGACAGCGACAGCAGCGCGTATCACCAGCAAGTACGAGGAGTTGTCTCAAAAGTACCATTCTGAGAAGGCAGCCAACAAGCAGAACACACTCGCGTTTGGCTGAGTCCGAGCGGCCGCTGTTGCTACTTATATTTTGGATCACGATCCGTGCGCATGCCTCCCCATCGTCTTGTACAACCGCAACAGTAACAGGATGCCCCAGCGCCTCTGCAGGAGTTGCTATGATGAAATGAAGAGGGCTTGTGTACATAATTCAGGGCCAGTCTGTCAACGCATGTCGAAGAGACGTTTTGCAACCTTGCAGCCACCGCTAACAGTTCCTTCCAGCCAAAGTAACAATATAGCATGAGGTGTGCCGTTCACATCAGTGATGGCGATGTTGATGAGATGTTGATGCCAGTTATCCTTGTGGCGACAATGATGTCGATGATGATGGTGATGGTGACCACACGGATGACCATTCGATGGTAGTGATGATAGAAGTTTGAGGCCCCCCATGAGAGATGTTAAGGACGGTGCGGTGACGGCGCTGACAAAGACCAGTGTCAGGGTCGGGATCCGTGAAAAGAGCGGCGGGCTCGATGTCGGGCGCTTTCTTGCGCCAGGGTCGTTGTACTCCCTCGTCAACACCCAGACATACTTCTGCTGTGTCCGCGTCGGCCCCACAAGGCCGACGAGCGCACTGACAGGTCATATTGATGAATCTCCGCGGCGCGCGGTTTCTGGCCATGCCGCCTGCGCACCGGCATGCTGCAATGCTGCCGTGCGCTATCTTCCTGCAGAGCCGGACCTCCGCGGGGAGGGCGGAGGGGGCCGGCCTCCTCGGAGGGCGGCAGGGCTTCTCGGAACTTCTCCCCGAGGGGCCCGAGGCCACCGGCGGCTCCCCGGAGGGCGGGAGAGCTTCTGAGTGGCCCCGCCGCCTCGGCCGGCCCCGTCTCCCGAGCATGCTCTCTGGGTGGAGGGCAGAGGGTGAAGAGACTGGAATGCCCTTTCGACTGGTTTTCGAGGCTGGAAATTTGCAACAAAGGTGAATCACAGGACGCACTGATCTCCGAGGTGCAATAGCCCATCTGGATTTCACCCTGAGCCCTCCACCCGAAGAAAATGCTCAGGTCTCCCTGCCTCCTCCCCCCCCCCCCGCGCTCGCCGCGGAATGCTCGCCTGGCACGGCCTCTCTGGTGCTGCAGTCTCTCTGCCCCCCCACCCAGCACGTCGCCTGCGGGGCGGCACAACTGTTCGAAGAAGAGAGAACGCCATAAGTCAGGAAAAAAAGAAACACACAGACACAATTAACCGTCGACTCCCAGGAAAATGTCAGAAAATATGGGAAGCTGGGGGGAAGACGAAAACCCAGAAAATATATGATAACATGGGGAATCCTGCTATTTGTGATGGCTTATTTGTGTGTCCCTGGGCCCCTTCAATAAGCATAAACGTTTGGCGCTCCGCGCGGATGTCTTGCATCGGCGCCCCGGGGCCCCCTGGCGGCGCCTCCGGCGCCGCCCTCGGCGCGCTCCGCGCGCCAGGGAGGGGGAGCCCGGGCGCGGATCCAAGAAGTCCGCGCGGAGCGCCACATGTTCATGTTTGTGCCGGGCTTTCTTCTTCTGTTTGTGCGCCTCGCCCGTGCGCGTCCCGGGCGGGGGCACAGCAGATGAAGGGAAGAAGCAGCACCAGATCGAAAAATCTATCCTCATACACACACCGCCCTTCCCAGACGCTCTCGCGTCGTGAAGAAGTCGCGGCGAAAGGATTTTGGCCGTTCGAGGCCTCCAGGGGTGCCATGCCAGGCCTCCGGACCCTCAGAATCGACTCGGTATGAGAAAACAGCCTCGGGGAAAGAGTCGGGACTTCCGGGGACCCCGTGCTGGAAAAGGCAGGACATCGGACGTCTGGGTTCGGGGCCGCCCAGAACGCTATCCAGAGGGGGAGGGAGCAGGGGAGGGAGAAGCGATAGAGGGGGAGGGAGAAGGGGAGGGAGAAGGGGAGGGAGAAGGAGAGGGAGAAGAGAAGGGGGAGGGAGAAGGGGAGGGAGAAGAGATGGGGGCCTCAGGATCGGGGGAGGGTTCAACCGGGGCCCAGCTCAGCGCAGCTGTCGACCGAGGCCCAGTTCAGCCGGGGCCTAGCTCAGCGGGGACCAGTTGCCAAGGCCCAGTTCAACTGTGATGGGCCTGTTTTTCCACCACCACCACAAGTTGGAGGGGGGAAGGAGGAGGGAGGAGGAGGAGGAGGAGGAGGAGGAGGAGGAGGAGGAGGAGGAGGAGGAGGGGAGAGGAGGGGAGGAGGAGGAGGAGGAGGAGGAGGAGGAGGAGGAGGAGGAGGACCCCCTGCCCCTCCAACTTATGGTGGTGGTGGTGGTGGAAAACAGGCTCATTAAACTGGGACCCAGTTCATCCAGAGCCCAGTTCAGCCGCTGCGTGAGGAGGCTCCGAGAGCACTTGGAACCGTCTTGTGGCCCTCTTGGGGCCTCTTGGAGCCACGATGGAGCGATCCTGCCATTTCTTGGGTCAGATTGGAAGGCCATCTTGGAGCCGTCTTGGCCCTCTTGGAGCCATCTCGGACGAAATGGGACCCTCTGGCACCTCGGGCCCCCCGTCGAAAAAGCTTAAGGGGAGAAGAGAAGGGTGCCCCGAGGAGGAGGAGAAGGAGGAGGAGGAGGAGGAGGAGGAGCAGCAGCAGCAGCAGCAGCAGCAGGAGGAGGAGGAGGAGGAGAGGGGGGGGGAGGGGGAGGAGGGGGGAGGAGGAGAGAAGGAAGAGGAGGAGGAGGAGGAGGAGGAGGAGGAGGAGGAGGAGGAGGAGGAGAAGGAGGAGAGGGAGGAGGCGGAGGAGGAGGAGGAGGAGGAGGAGGAGGAGTCGCCACTTCCTCTCGAACGAGGAAGATCTGGGCGACCACGGCGGCCCCCAACGGGCCTGTGATTTCGTCGGGGCCTCGAGGCGCCTGCTGCCGTGGGATGGGAGGCGCTGACCCTGCGCCGGCCCCCTGAGGCCTCCGAGTGCCATGGCCTCCGCGCAGCTGGCGGCGGCGCGCGCGGCCGCCGCATTCTGGATGCTCACGCTGGGCCTCTACAACCCGCAGAGCTTGCCTGCCTGGCGGGAGGAGCTCGTGAGCGAGGCGCTGCAGAATTTTGACGTGGTGGTGCTGCCAGGCACGCAGCAGCGCCAGAGGGACGACGCGATCCCCGTCACGGCCATCCGCACGATGAGGCATGTGGCCTACGGATGGGGCTGGCGTCGAGGAAGGTTCACGAACAAGAGCTGCGGCATCACGATCATGATTGGGAGGAGAGTTCGACGCAACCACGTTCGCCAGGTACTCAGCCCTCCGCCGAAGCTGGGCATCACTGGACGGGCGGGAGGGATCAAGCTTGCGACGGCGAGGACTCCGATGCTCGTGTTTGGAGTTTATCTCACGCCCTCTGGGACCCAGGAGGAGCGCACGGAGTCCATGCAGCGCATCCTAGGCTGGATCACAGACGAGGTGGCGAAGGCAGGCAACAGGTACCTGGTGGTGGTCGCTGGGGACTTCAACGAGCAGCTGGGTTTCAGCGACATAGACGAGGGGGCTGGACGGCATGGACGACATCGGCGATCAAGACAAGTTGAACAATTACGATGGTGGGCGGCCACGAACTACCTTACCGCGGCCAACACGCACTTCCGCTTGCCCGCCAGCTACTACGGCTCAGAGACGAACAGCTGGATTGATCATGTGTTCGTCCCGTCCACGGCGATGGGATTCGTGCCAATGATCAGGATGCGCCCCGATCTGATGCGCACGCTCTCACCTTTCCCTACAGCTGAGCTTCGCGACCACTGCCCAATGGAGGTCCACATCACGTACGAGCTGAGCTATTCGCCGCTGCGGAGCGCCACGGAGAGAGTGGATCGGGACTCCCTCATGAGGTGCTTGACTAAGGGCGAGCGGAGGCGTGAGTTCTGCGAGAAGGTCGAGTCCAACCTGAGCGCAGTCGAGGCCGAGTGGAACTTCTCCGACTCCGACCCCACGCCTGAGACCAAGCACCAGCTATTCACGAAGGCGATCCGCGACGCCACTCTCTCTGTCTTCCCGTCCACGAGGAGGCTGGGCACGGAGTACGAGCATTTGGTGGAAGAAAGGGTTCAGGCTCTGCGGGCTCGGGCTCAGGTGGCACACGAACTAGCAGAGCTGCAAGCTGGCCGCAGCAACGCAGACCACAACCACGACTTCGAGCTCAACGTGATGGTTGCAGAGGCGCGGCTACGGCGTCTCACAGGCGAGTGCAAGGCACGTCGCAAGGCTCATCAGGAACACACTTTCTACGAGCGGATCGAGGAGCTGAGGGGGGCCTGGAGGATTCGCGATTTCTCCAGGGTGTATGCACTCAGGGGACGGCTCGCTGGCAGAGGGAAAGGCATTCGCAAACGTACATACATTGCTGCCAACTGCACATTGGGCGCTGAGGAGTGGAAGGAGGGGATGGCGAAGGAGGGGGTCGCTGGCGGCATGCGCGCGCTGACGACCTCCTGGGACCAGCAATTGATGAAGGCCAACACCAGGGGCGAGTACCTGCGCGACAACGGAATGTGGAGAGACGGTGTACATGACAACTCTCTACATGATGAAGTTCGGGATGATCTGAAGGCGATCAAAAAATACTGCCGTCGGGCGCCGAGGAGGAAAGCATTCCCCGAGTGGGGCGTCTGCACAGAGATGCTCGCCATATGCCTGGCGCCCATGGAACGGATCGACAGCACTGGCAGGGGACTCGGCTACGTGGACAATGCACCCATACAGATGACGAAGTTCGAGCAGTGCCTATGGGACCTGCTAAAAGACACGCGCATCAAGAAGACCTTCGCTCCATCGGGCAAGCGCACTCGCGCCATCGGGCTCGACAAGAACAAAGGGAGGGCCGACCTGAAGGGGCAGCGCATGATCCACTTGTATGACCATCTCTCGCAGGCGTGGCACAGCGGCCTTCGACGACGGCAACTACCTGGAGACTGGCCTGAGTGGGCGCGCGGCAGCTTACCCCACCGCAGCAGGGAATCAGCCCTGCTGGCGCTGCAGTCGGCATGCTGGCGGCTCAGGGATGCCAACTAGTCGGTTACGCAGCAAAATTGGGATGCGGCTGGGGCCTTCAATGCCATCTGCTGGGAGCATTGGCTCACGCACGCAGTTGACAGACTGCAGGCCGCGGACAGGCCCTTCTTCGCACAACTCCTTTCCGACTTATGCGTCACCGTCTCGGCCCCTGCTGGCGAGCTCGAGTTCACCCCGCAGGAGGGAGGCGCCATGGGCAGCAGCTTGATCCCGTGGGGCTTCGTGGCCACCTACTCGGTCGCGGTCGGCAACGCCTTTGACGGGCTGAAGGAACAGGACGAGAGCTTCAACTGGCTCGAGACGACGATCCCCGACAGGGACGACGCGACCTTCGACGTCGGGGCTGCTGTGTTCGTGGACGACGTGACGCGCATCACCCCGATCCCCAAGCACGCCACTGGGAACGACATTGTCCGCAGGCTCAACCGCACCACCAGGACGATCAACACGGAGATTGGCAAGCAGGGCGGAGGACTGAACGAGGGCAAGACTGTCAGCACGCTCGATCTACGGGGCCATGGTTCGAATACGGCGACGAGGAAAGTGGCAACGTCTCGGCAACTGAAGGGGACGGTGGCTAAGTGCGCCAGGCTGCTTGGACCGATTGCGGCGGCGGACCTGTCCGTGCATGAGGAGATCAAGGCCAGGGTGATGGCGGCGAAGCGGGGCTGGTACAACATGGGCTCGACTTGGTACCACGAGATCCAGAAGAGGTGTGCCCGC